TCATAGCAATAGCAGGTGGGGACAGGATCCAACGGCTTTCCAGTGAGAGTAATGTGTCGGCATCAGGTCCTGTGAACCGTTGATCTCCATTTGCTTAGCAGTGTTTTTTTCCCCTTCTTCTGACAGGGACCAGAAATCGGCTATTTTTGAGCAAATGTACCTCTGACACAGTCAAATGTAGGAAAACAATAACCCGCTGACATACTGCAGGCTCTTGGTGCCATAGAGGTTCAAACAAGGTAGAGGCTGTGTGAAAATCTTGTATGTAGAATTGGAGAGGAATTCAAGCGTGTCTTAAATCCACGTGTCTGAAGCTCTGGCTTCAATCACCAGTGAGAGACTGAAGTGAAGTCTTTTTTGTGGACTGCAGACTGACAGCTGCCTGACACGCATTACACAACACCAAGGGGACTTGTCCTAGGCATTGTACAAACAGAATAAGAAAAAACAGGGCACAGACTGCCAAGATGATGTTGTAAAACATAAAATGGCTACAACTTCCAATGCATTAGCCTACTCAATACTGGTCATTGAAAGCTTCCAGGCTCTGTAGCCATGGAATAACATGACTGGAAGGCAAACATGGCCTACTATTGCTAGTCACAAACTAGCCAGTTTAGAAACAGCCTGTATACACATCACTGCTGCCCCGGTATCTACTCAGCTTCCCAGGAAAGCCTCTGAGACTAGAGAGCTGCAGACATGCAAACAAGGTAGCTTACAGCTGGCTCAGGTATGCTGCTACCAGGGATTACAACCCAGTTAACACTGTTAAATCATTTGGAAGAAAGCACTCAGAAGAAAGCAGGCAGATCAGAGATTTTAAGAAGTATTCCTTAAGTTACTTCCCATATCACTTGCTTCCCTACAGCTGTTGGTGCTGTAAGTTACCTGTATAAATCCAAGCTAGTTTCGTCATGCGTCTCAAACTGGAAGACAGACAGAAGCAACACGTGGTTCTAGTCAAATAAAGCTTATATCTGAGCACATTTGAAGACTATTACTTTTGTTTCTGGTTTCTCTGTTGAATTTCAACAGCACAAAATACAATTAATGTCTTTTCTAAAAATGCTGTAAGGACTGAAATGTGTTGTAACAATATTTGCATTTCTTTTCAGGGTAGCTGCATTTCAGGTACGTGCAAACTTCTCTTTTTATCAGTTGGTTTTGTCCAGTGCTCCACTGATTTTGTAATCAGTGAACTTCATAAAACATACGCTAGCCCATTGTTGATCTCCATAAATAGCACTGATGATAACAAAGAAAACACTGTCCTTACTAGTGGAGCGTCAGTAAAATTAAATGAAGAAACAGCTTGAGCCATCTCTGGCCTCACATGAAAATCCAGACCTCATCTCGGGGTCAAGGTCAAAAGGAAGAGCTGGGTGTAAATGCAGAAAGAACCAGATGGCGAGTAGTTATTATGAGACATTTGGTACTTTAGAAAGGTTTATCCACCAGCTTCAATTTACCCCAAGTGCTCAGAATCCATGATGAATGCCAACCCCCTCAAAAAATCACTGCTGTATGGATGTCTTGCTCCATGTCATGCATCTACTGAACACAGCAACCTTAAAAATATTAATTCTCTGCCCACCTAAGAAAACTTTCTAACTGCTGCTATTATTCTTATTGGAAAAAAAAATTAATGTGTAACCGTGCCAGTAGGCAGGATGGGTTGCAACAAATCACATATAGAAAGCAACAAATCTTAAAAACACCAGCAGCCTTTAACACCTATACATCCATTATCCTGTTGCACAGAATGGCAAAGAAAACCTTGCTATTTAAAGTCTGAACTTCTAAAAAGCTCTGTTTATTCTACTTTGTAGGCATTGAACTAAACATTTCCCATTCCTGAGATATAATTTTTCAATTTTTCAATGCTCGCAGTAAGAATTCTAAGAACCTGATACTGAAGTCAATAAAAAGGCTTCCCCTCTCTCAGTCCCCTAAACTTAGGAGGGTCTTAACAAACCTTAAGTTTAAAATACTGCAGAGAACCCTAGCTCCACAAGTTGTGTCAGTGCACCAACAAAAAACAACAGAGGTTCCTAAATTGTTTCAAAGTTTCCAGGATTTATTAGCTAGCCTTCTAGACAGACAATATTCTCAAGTTTTTTTTCTGAGAAATGTTGAATTAAATCTATTCTGTAGGAAGGAGAAGACAAAGTTAAAGACAAATTGAAAGCAACAGGCATCACTAGTGATCAAGTTAGTACCCTCAGTGTCATACCTGGATGGATTTTGTCTTACAAGTAAGGCTGGTGGGCTAAAAGCATAGAAAGATATCTATTGCAGACATACAATAGCCCTTGCATGATGGTAAACCTCCTCTGCTGGCTCCAGGGGTGGCCCAAGTCTTTCTGTTCCATAAACCATTTAATAAAATCTCCTTGTGGCAACGAGCCATACGATTTAAGCAGCTGAAAAGACAGGTAGCTCTGTTCTCAGGCAGTCAGGGACAGCAGCTATTCTGGCCCCCTCAGCATCTCCCTTACCCTCTGTGGGACAAGGCTGGGATGGAGACCAGCAATACCAACTTCAGTATCTCGTGCTGGCTCCTTCTTCTCACAGTCACCACCCCAACCTCTCATAACCCTAATGTCAGTGATGTGGCACAATCCCTGCCAGAGGGATGTGCTTGAGCTCCTCCGGAGCTGCGCTGCGGCCAGGTCTGCACTGGAATCAGGCGGGCATGCACACACGCTGTGAAGCCTTGGCAGTGCTGCACTTAATGGCAAAATTCCCATTGATTAAAGCAGAGCCAGAATATCACGTATAATACTTCCACTTGGTCAGAATACCTCCTCTTCCTCCCGAGGCTTGTAAGAGCTGTAAATAAAGTTAAAGCAATATAGTACTCAGCAGTTTTAATAGAAGGCCTCCTCTGTTAAACGACCACCAAAAATAGTTGCTTCAGACGGGTTATACTGAATCATAAATGAGAGAAGGCTGCTTAGATTTTTTTTTTAAAACCATCACTACTTTTATTGGTTGTCAATGTTTTCCTGTTAGTCAATAAATGCATTTGATATAGGGGAGCTTCCAAAGCAAGCATGATGGGAGGGCTAGTTTAACATTCAAACTAATTTAAAAAGAAGTTACCTCAAGTTTCCCTTTGGGACGTTCACAAAATATGCAGTTAATTTGTTGCACCTAATTTGTGTGTATGTACTGGGAGGTAATTAGTGTGGAAATTCAAACAATTTTACAATCTTTCTGTTCAGCTCAACAAATTACAGTTTTCAACACCTGTTTCTGGCAGTGACAATAGTTTTAGTACTTGCTTAATTTCCATAGACCAGAAGTATACTCCAAGCAAAAGACACATTATATACATATGCACATGTGGAACAGCCATAGCTAGCATGAATACCCCCACCACTTTATGTATCCGCTCACACAATATTCCCCTGCAGAATTAGGAAAAATATGTGTATTCCAATAGAAATTGTATTACTGGCTTCAGGTATTGGACATCATTAAAGGTTTCCAGGCACTTTCCGTAGTAAGATTTATTTTAAAAATTGTTTCTAACTTTGCCAAACTAACTCCTTGCTCTAAAACTTTACATGCTGGCTCTCTGCCCTAAAGCTGGATGGGTTTTTTTGTTGGTTTTGTTTTGTTTTGAATTTTAGCCAAAATCCTCCTCCAAGAAGTAGACCACAGAACATTTTGTTGGTTTACCAAAATAGCATTCTGGCAGCCTCTCCTCCAACTTCAACACCCTATGCTTTGGAGTAGGAATTTAAAATTCGATCAGAGGTTGTGGGGGAGGAGAAACCAACCCCAGGAAGCCTAAGCCAAAAGCCTTTGCAAGAAACATAAAAGTAACAATGAAGCTTCCACATGCTCAGCAGAGACCTTATGATTTCAGAAGGTAAAGGCTTCAAAGAGTGTCTCACTAAGCACATTCTCTTCCCTCATGTCTCCCAACATTTATGTGTGCATATAATGTCTTCAGAAAACAAATGAATATGCTTCCTGCAAGCCCAGGGTTACCAGCCAACACATCCATAGCAAATGCTGCTACAGGCTGGGGTGGACAGTGGAAGGAAGCATCTCTCAAGCCAGATCTCCAAGTCAAATACAGAGGAACCAAATGTAACCAGGACTCTCCTACAATTCCTTACCTCATCCGTTATAAAACTTTGAAGTGAACAAGGGTCATACTGACCCCAAATGCATTAATACACTAGATCCATCCTTTGTATTATGCGGGGCAGGAGTTCCAGAGGAAAAATGTTATTGTATATGATCTTGTTATAAGTAGTTGAACCACACATCTGCAACTATGATTCCATGTTTCTGAATTTTCCAGCACCTGAGTGGTTGACTTTGCGATTTTAATAGTTTATACTGCAGGTAGTTTTGTGTCTAATTTCTGAATAAATGTAAACCTGTAGAAACAGTAGTTTTATCAAACGAGAGACAATTATGTAAATGTGGTTGTGGGTTTTTTTTCCACACTCATATATAACATTAATGAGCCCCAAATTCCTCAATAACCTAGAATGTTAAACAGTTTTCAAAGCAGAACAGATCAACCAGTACTTTTTAATGGCTTTTGTATAATGTCACTAAGGTGTTAAAACATAATGCCCAAGTTCTCAGAAAATTATTCACAGACTTGAGCTAATTCAAGTACACAACTTTGTTACCCAAATGTGCATATCTAAAAGGATCCATCATAGAACCAAAATAGGAATGTAAATGCACGATTGACCATTAAGCCTAGATCCTACAAGTAAGTCTGAACTTTGTAGTAGTTCTGCTGAAATCAATGTATTTATATTCATAAAGCAAAGTGCCTACCTGTACTTTTGCAAGACCAAGGAGATGATGAATAGTTAAAGTAATACACATGCAAATATATTACCATCTGCATTTTACAACAAGAGCTCTCAAAAAGCTTGGATTTGCAGGATCATCTACAAAAAAACAAGCAAATAAAAAAAATAAAGACCACTTAGTAGAAGTTTTTGGCTTTTATTTTTTAGATTTTTATTTCTTTTCAAAATAATGGGGTTTGTTTAGCTTTAAAATATTTCAGTAGTTACCTAAAACAAATATATACTTTGTTAGAAGTTCTGGTAAGTGCTGTTCTTGAGTTCTGAAAATGTGTGGCAGAATACAAGAAAATATAAAATTGGGTTAGCAAAATATAGTAATGGAGCTTTACAAGAGGGACACACATTCTATGTTATTTTAACTAAGTCTGTCAGGTAAACATGCTGTAACAGCTATCCACTTAGAAATGCGTGCCTATAAACTTAATCTGCAACCTGAATCCCAGGAAAAATTCACTACTGATCAACTCAAGGCTAGTAGGTCCAAGGAAAAAAAAATCCATCTCCAACAGTGTTTCTTCATTGAACAAATATTCCCTTTTTCCATAAAGTATTTTTTAAAATTTTAATAGATCACTATATACCATAAAATGACTATATAACATTCTCTTACTATTCAAGACTCACTTCATTTTGTACCCACGATGTATGTTATTTTATATGCAAACAGTTAAGTGTTTCATAAAAAAAAAAAAATTATTTATTGCATCTAGTGAAAAAAAAAGATCACTTTGATGGTTCTTAAAAAAAAAAGAAACTACTGTCTGGCTAATTGCCAAACAATACCTTCCTCTGGCTTGCTTTTTCAAGAATCATGAAAAAAAACTGGAGTTTGTTGTATTCTAGACAAACAAAGATGATTAGTCTGTATGGGATCAGAATGCACAGTATTTGATTAAACCCACATACTTCTCAAACGAGCTATAAGAATAAAAAACTGTGGTTTGTTATTGTGTCCATTTCCAAAGGGCAGCTCACAAGGTTTCCTCCTCACGTAAAAACTGGAACACAGCTGAGAAGTCTTTCAGGGCATAGCCTTTTGCACACATCATCCTGTAGATCTGATGTGCCTGGGATCCCAAAGGAACTGGTGTCTTTGTGTTGGTGGCAGAAATCTGGGCCAAGCCAAGATCCTGTGGGAAGGGAGAAGGAGGAAAAGGGCAGAGGAAGAATGGAAGGGAAGAAAAACAGAAAAAGTCAGGGGAGAAACAACAAGGATATAAATAGCCATGTACATATTACAGGTTCTTTGGCTTCCATTGTGAAGAGAACTCTGCTGCCAACAAATACAATACTCCAGCCTTAAAATTGCAGTTCTGGAAGTATGGAGTCTTGTTTACTGTTTGATTTTTGAAACAGTAACTCAACATTATTCAACAGCAAACCCCCAGATTTTGCAAGGCAGGCAGTCTCCTTCAGGACAGGATAAATTTTAAGATTTAAGATCACTATATAACCCAGTAGCAAGACTCAGACTCTTTTGCCTCACTTTGTTATGTCATCTCCAAAAAATAAAATTTCCCTGGCTATTGACTTAAGTGTTGCACATAGGTTATAATGGCATCATTTTCATGTTTAGGCAGGAGGACACCTTTCTTTCTAAGAACAGGTTAAAAATCAAGCAGGAAAAAATTGAGTAACAACAAAATTGAAGCCACTCAGCATACATACATTTACTTTAATATAACCAATTAATCACAAAATGAGAGGCAGAAGACACTTTGTGTATATGACTAGTTCGCAGCCTAACTGGAAGGATGTGTTAACTCCTTAGGGCACTGTCCTGGGTCTGCTACAACTCAAAAGTTTTCTTTAATGACTGAAGGTAAAAGGATACAGAATAATTATAGTGCATTTTTAAACACTAAAAAGGAGAGAAGGTTGCAAAAAGGATGAACTTGAAACCTGACCTCCAAGAGTTCTCGGTTAATTACAGCTATAAACTGAAACAAATAGAACAGAGCTCAAAGGCAAGTACCAGGTACTAGGACTAACCAAAGTTAGTTAGAAAGAGCTGCACGCATGCTGGACAGAAAGTACAGGCTAAACTGGAGAATGTCTTGAATTCTAAGCTGAATCAGACATAAAAGCAACCAAAGGAAAAGCTAACAGGGGCCTGGATGTATAAAGAGATCTCTTATCTAAATAGAAGAGTAATGCCTGAACTCAGGGTTGCCTTTATAACGTCTTCCTAACAGAATCTATTTAGCAGTCCACATTTCAAGAAAGATGTACAAGAACCTCTCAAGTGTTACTAGAAGTGTGTGGATTTTCTGTCCATCCAAGACTATGGTGTTTTATGGAATCTGCTGTGCCTTTTTTTTTTTTTTTTTTTAAATAACAAATCTTTGATACAGAGGATCTGAGAGGCTGTAGTACTGCTGAAAGCACCTTTGGCTTCTCAGGGCTGACTTACAAGACAGGTCTTTACTTTCTGTGTGTCTGGATTTGAATAAGCACTAGGAAATTCAAGATCTTACTCTACTATAAATGTCACTTTGATCTGTAAATCAGCTCTATAAAGGTCATTCTGATACAAATCAGAATTACAGTTACTCTTTCTACTACCCTCAAATAACTTCAAGATCTAGGAAAATGTGAAAAACATACGTATCAGATGTCACAAGATCCAAAATATTCTTCATCTGCATCAGGGCAGATCATTCCTTCTTGTTTAGCAATTTTGTTGAAAGACTGATGACTTGACAAATCTAGGAACAGTTACTGTAATCTCACTTATAGTAAGATATTCCATGACATATTTCTAGCCTCTTCTAAACCCTCTTTGTGAAACTTGTTGCCATATTATCCATTTTTTTCAACAAAGATTAAATCATGTCATGGAACAGTAGAATGGCAAAATCATCTAACTTCAAATTAGTGAAGGTTCTTGGCAGTGGTGATCACGATCTGTGTCTCTCTGAAAGGGCACTCACAGAAGCAATCCTTGATAATTCTGAATTCACTGCTCACGCAAATACAATTTCATAAAGCAGGTTTGTTCACTTTAATAATGAAATTTTGGCCTCAAGACAGTTGAAATATCAGACAACATCTCAATAATTAAATGGACAAGGACCCCTGCCTCCAAACTGTAGGAGGGAATTTTTTTTTTTTTTTTAAATTCCATTCTATAAATTAGAGCTTTTAAGTAAAGCTTATTTTTAGCTTCAGGTTGTGAAGTGTTTTGCACTTTCTGTCTTGAGGCTGGAGATGTGTTGTGTGAAATAGCACAACAGCTCTGAAAGAACCTTGCCCTTAAATGACTTTTTTTTGAAAAGTAAAAATCAGAGCATAGTTTATGTCCCCTCTCATACTCTTTGGAACTGATATCTCCCATCTATCTCAATGCATCCACTATTCCAACCACTTTTTCTCAGCTTGGAACAGGGAAACATTATCTTTCAGAATCTGCTTCCAGTGCCCACTTTGGAGATGCTTGGTTCTGTACATTCATTTTGCAGTTGATGTAAATGAAACTCCTCTTCAGAATAAAGCTCAAAGGATGTCTTGACATGAGTCAATAATAGTGTGAAATAAAAGTAGCTCTTCTCAGGATTCACAGAAGGCACTTGATTACCAGCTGTGCTGTGAATGAAAGAAGAACTTCTGTCCTGCAACGCTTAGGACACAAAGATGGCAAGGGGAAGTAAACTAGGGTTTTTAAATGCAAAATCTTTAGGGTAGGTTTCACATTAAGTTGACTAAATTCTACGCTTCGATAACATATTTCAAGACTGAAGAGCTTTTCAGATGTGTCTGACAAACTTTTCTCTCCCAAACACTTAAAATAAGGATCCTCTGGCTCTGTTTGAGAGATCAACTGCTGACAAAATATTTTTAAGAAAGCCTTTGACTTCTACCATATCTGATACATGAGCAGTAATTTGAAGTTTAGTAATTGTGCTACTGAGTCTCTCTCAGATGTTTTCATTGTGGAGTATTTTCTTCTCGACTCCAGGGCTATACCTATTTCCCTCTCCTTTAAATATAGATTTTCTTTTTTATTAAGGGGCAAAGTATGCTTTGTATTTCCCACAAAAAAAAAAAAAGGTCTCCAACTCAACTCACAAACCGCACAATATGTCACATACCAGTATGAAATGGATAGTAGCAAATCAATAGTTTGCTTTCCACAAACTAAGGAGCAGTTAAAAGAGGTCACTGCTGCACTAAATAATATCCTGAGCATGACCAGCTGTTTTGGCTACTTACTCATTCAAGTAATCTTCCATCTATATAGAATAACATAGCATTGTTCAAGAGGCATGGAAGGAATTTGATGTCCTTCCTTCTTACTGATGATTGCAGCCTACAGATGCACTCTTCAGGACTGGCAGGAGAGGCATAGTCAGAGGTGAACAGCAATTACAAACCTGTCTAAGGAACTTCCCTCTTGGTTATCACTGATATTTTACAATCAAAAGCTGACAGTTTCAAGAGGCACAACTGTTTTGCCAATGACCAGGCCCAACAAAAATGATACCACCAGCAGAAAGATGAACCAATACACAGACTGTATTGTACACAAGAAGGACATTCCATGAATGATCGCTGGGGGTACAAACAGATCAATCAGCTGGTACATAATTGACGCCACCCCCAAGGATCTCACAAAGGACGTAACTCGTCCCACAACAGGTGGTACAAACAGAGACCCGAGGTTGCCCACAGTTGGCATGGGAAACAGCCAGACCAGCAAGCTGAACACATAAGAGAAAGGTGACCACATAATGACTCTCACCCAATCCGCCCACGTTCGCAAAGGTCTAAACAGACCAGGGCCCAGCTCCAGGGAGAGTCAGGAGGTCTGCCCTGAACCAGGAAGCTCTGTGGAGTGCCCTCCACAGACAGACACTCCTGACTCCCTGCAAGTGGTCCCAGCTTTTATCCCCAAGCAGACACCTGACCTTTGTCAACTCACTGCGGGACCCCTGGGGCTCATTTCCCTTATGGCTCTCCCTGCAGGGCCGGCCGCACCCTGGGGGGGAGCTATAAGGCAAACTCACCACCTCTGTATGAAGGGCTGTGGGAATCACCCATATGTCAACCTTAATTTGGGTCTCGGGGTTCAGACCCCAGCATTTCACACAAGCCAGGCTGCTACCCCTCCAATGAAAGGACAATCTTTCAAGGCAGCTTCCAGAGGAGATGAAGGTCCCTCTTAGAAGCACACCAAATGAAAAAAATACCAAACTGTACAAAGAAGTTCAGAAGGGAGCAAATGAAATATGTGCCCACATCAAATTTCTACTATAAGGTTATTCTGGACAGGAGTAAGAGTTATGAATCATGAGAACAGAGACTGCAATGTGAAACAGAGCACAACAGGCAGAACAGATTCTGAAAACAGCACACAAGATGGAAATAAGAGCTTTGAGGCAGGGTGAAGATCAGGTTGCTTATCTCTAACCAATAGCCCTGGCAAACTCCAAACAATAACCTAACATATTTTATAAATCCATAATTAAACTAACACTTTATCATCTCCTGTATTCAATGACGTGAACATGATGTACAAACTGCTGCTTTCCAATATTTCAACATGTCCCTCAAATAAACAAAAGCCCCAGGTTGTTGATTCATAAATGTAAATGTAGCTGGACAACCACTGAGGGGCTTTGAGCTATGCAGGATTAGCAAAATTTTTTGGTGCTACCACATGCAAAACATTCTGGACCCACTCTGGACAGAATCTGGCTAATCATTTTGAATGTGCAAATGCACCAATTAACAGAAATCAACTGCACAATGACAGGACCACTATCAGTAGGCAGGTATTACACACACAAATGCAGCACTGTAGAGATTTGCGTGGCAATATCTGAGTTGATCACCAGCTCTGAGAATGTTGTTTTAGTTCTAAGTGCCCAATTTCCACTGTATGTGGAAGAGCTGAAAATGGCCAGAATGCCTAACCAGCTGGGAACACTCATAAACTCGTATGCCTACAACCTGTCCTCTGTGAACTCAAATGTCTCCCTCAGGACAGCATCCCCATGAAACTAATATTCAGTGTGAAATTATTTGCCTCAGGCAGAAATACAAGCACATAAATAGCTGGTTTAGCAAGGACGAGGATGCTAAAGGGCATATCCAGTAGCACAAATTAATGTATCTGGAAGAGACTGGGCCTAAAATCTTAGATGCTTATGCCACTATTTGCACCTAATTAGGTCACCTGGATTTTCTCTAATCACTCTCTTGAGTTTAGGCTCCTGAATTCTAGAGCAGTCATGCAAGAGGCACCTAAATGGCTTGCTGAATGCTTGACATACACACAAATCCATCAGGACTCCTGGATTAAGGCAGGACTCGAGCTAGCGTCTATAATCTCACTGAGTATCTCAGCAGTAATAGTGGCTAGAAAGAGGCTGAGGGCTATGGAAAAGCCCCCTGCATAAGTCATTAATTCAGATCTACAGTAAGAGGTTGAGTTCCCCTCTGTTCATGCACACATATTTCCCTGGAATCATAAATTTTCACTGAGAAGAACATTTGCTAGAAGCCCAGAGAGAAGCAATTGTACACACTTTACATGCAAGTGTTATGTACCTTAGCCATGAGTGTTGTTCCAAAGCCACCTTGATAATTATTAGCAGATGGTACTCCTTCCATCACTCCAGGAACAGGGTTGTATGTGTCGCTTGACCAACAGCGACCTGAGCTCATATTTAGGATTTTGGCCAGCAGTTTTGGGTCAAGGCCTAATCTGTCAAAGGTCAAGAAAGAGACGTATTAATGTCAAAAAGCACAAGACATGGGTGACTTGTTTTATATCTTAGGACCCCAACATCATTTCTCTCCCTTTATTGTAAGTCATGAAAAATGACAGAGTATTGATATTGGGGGTAGGGATGTTGTATCTTAAATTAAAGAGCATCAATCTACCATTTAAGCAGTAGACTTTCAGAGCTTTTTTCCTTTTGTACTAAGCAAATCCCCTTCACCTAGCAATTTTGAAAGTGCAAGCAAAACAGAGGTCCTCTGAGCACAGTAGTTCCCTTGTATTTCAATTACTAAACGGCATTCTCTGTTCTGCTACCTGCTAGGACACATACTTATTCTTCATATCAAAATTTTGCTTTCTAAAGCTGAACAAAGCAAAAAATGCACAAGCAAGTGTGCCACTGTGAAAGTACTTGTGTGATGTGTTTATACATGAATGCTAGTGCATTTTGATGTAAGGAAGATAATCCAATGATCCTGCTCTAATTGTGAACAAAAATGCTACACTTCATATAAAATATTACTAATGTATACATTTGTACATTCTTTGCTTTGCTATTATTAAATCTTCATTACAGACTCCCACTTATGAGGCAAGTCTGCCTCTCACAATGACATATGTTATCTATTTGCAAACTTATATTATAGTTCTGGGTCAACTGTTGATAAGGTTACTGATCCTGATAAAACAAAGCTTGTCCAAGTAGAAATGTCATTTGTTCTATCACAGAGCTTATGGCATCAACTTCTGCTCACTGTAGACCCTGAAAGTTCTTCAATATTATAGAAAATTAATCCTCTTATGAATTCATATTTATGCTGATATTAGGTTGCAAGGGTCGTTTTACACCAATTGCATTTATATCAATGATGAGCAGCAGCAGTTTACCTGGCTCTGTGCAAATGTTCAGTTATACTCATGACAAAAAAGAAAGCACAGGAACTATCTCCAGTAACAATCCAAGAAAAGAAAAGGACATTTTAAAATAGATCTAGCAAAACCTTCTATAAAGAGTTTTAACAGAAGTCAACACTCTACATTAGCTCTTACACTACAGATGTTTTGCAGATCTCCATAGCCACGGTGAACCTAACACTTCTTCCAGGTGCTGTGGCACTCAAGGTTTTAATTCACAGATGAGAAAAGCTCATTACCAATGGAACAGATACTAAAATTTATGTCTATTTATTCTAGTAGGCATTTCATTTTCAGTTTGAAAACACAGATTTAAGAGGGTGGGCCCTACAGTATGGTGCCTGTTCTTATAATGGCATGTGTCTTCTGCAATTCTGTCTTCCTAATGCAAAGGAAGTTCACCTTCTCTAGTGCAAAGGCAGGTTTTTAGCATTACTGTTGTGCACTCTTATTTATTAATTGCTGCAGCAGCCCCTGGAATTCAGTGGGAAGTCTCCTACTGGCCTGAATGGGATCAAGCTTTATTCTCCTCCCCATTTTTTTCCAGTTTTCTGACTGAACTGAATGCTTTCAATGGCCATTTATTACAAAAAAAAAAAAAAAGCAAACAGTATTTTCCAGCACCAGTATGTTGTCACAGTATTTGAACTGTACTTTTATCTTGCACAGTGCCATTCTGAATAACTGCCTTAATTGTCCTCCAAAAAACCTGCACTGGGAGCAGGCAATGCCTGAGCGTCCATATACACAGAGGTTGCTTTTTTGGCCAAAACAAATCTCTTGGCTTGTTTGTTTCCTTATCGTTGTCACACTGAGATCAGTATTTTTAGCACCGTAATGTCTGCTTGTTCTACATCTAGCTGCATGCAGAGGCCCATAATTACAACTGTGAGTATACAGTGAGACAGAGAGCGTATTATTCCAAAACGCACATAACCCTCCCAAAAAAAATGCTCTTCTCACAGTGTTCTAGCTACCTCTCTCTGAAAGTATATTTTAAATTATATGTGTGCATTATACAGGTATATAAAATGTCGTCTGCGCAAGATCTGGCATATTTTTGCTCTAGGAAAAGAAAAAGGAATATAGTGTCAGTTTAAATCCATGCTTCTTCAAAATTCATTGCTCTTAAACACCATGCAAATTCTCTTCAGGAGACCTGAACCTATTTTTTTTTCGTCCTTTGTAGCAAGTGTATCATTAATAAGAGCAAGTTAGAAGTGCTATGCATTTCATCTTTCTGAGGATTCATCCACTGGTGCATATATAACTGACAGTTAAAATTAGACATATATTAAAATCAGTTACTGAAGAAGTCCTCTGTCTTTCACTGTGCCCGAAGCTTGTAATGGTCTGAAACCAGCTAGAATATACAGTAATTGTCATTCAGTGAGAGTCTATCCTAGAAAGTCATGCTTCAGTGGAGAAGACTGAGTTTCCATTTGAAATCAACAAATTAATCCAAGACAGGTATCTGAAAGGGCAAGTTTAATAGGAAGCAGCTACTGGGCTCTCAACCATGATAAAATGTTATTGCTGTTTCCCTGTAAATTGGCTGGGAACATATGATACTCTCTGCATAAGAGCTCCATTGCTGTTCAAGAGATATACTGCTCAAGCTATCAAAATGATGACAGTCTGCCAGTCCCCATAACAACTTGCCATTGGATGTGGCAAGAGCTTGTGCATGCACGTGTGAATTTACAATTACCAAAATGTTCTGCTCCCTTATAAGCAGAAAAGAAGCCCATGTATTAACCATACTTATAATAGAGCAAAAACAATTGCTTCCCTTGAATCAATGCTTCTTCAGTAACATTCCTAATGAACTGAACAGCAGAAACTCAGCAACAGACACATATTAAAACAAAAAAAAAGGTTAAATTGTTTTGGCCACTGCTCAAAACTCAAGTTTTGCTGAGCTTTGATGAAACCACTTACTGACATTTTCATACCAATACTCCAGACTCCACCAATCCTTCAGAACAGACAGAAAAACTGAAATGGCATCTCACAAAAAAACACAGGTCCTGGTCTCATTTTAAGGTACGACAACTGAAGTAGCTGAACTGTTGAGAGTTTCTAATCTCAAGATGCTCCAGATAAATACCATATGAAGTTTCAATACTCAAATAGAACCTTAGAACCCTTCTACCACTGCTCAAAATGACTTTGCTGTTGGTGTTTTAAACAAGGTAAGTGCTTTCAAGTGCCATTATGAACCTCCACAAGAGTTGTCTGTAGACTCATGCCAAAGACAGCAGAGCCACAGTGCTCTTGGAGGAATTAATTTTCAAGGCACTGTTTCTAAAATTTGCAATGGAATATGCCCAGGGCTAATCACCCCTCAGCCTGCAGCATATATGCTCCTCTTTATACTGTTGGCTCACATTTCTGCTCATGTCTTCCATTTATAGACCAGGGGTAGACCAGGGGTGTCCACAGAAACCAGGCCTAGAGACTGAAAATTACATCTACACTTCAGAGAGAAAAGTTCTTTCATCAGTTTTCACTTTATGTAACTGAACAAGCAAGCAGGCACAAATTCATATACAGTAAAATTGCTTCAGAAAGAGCTTTATTTGCAGTTTTTGGGATAAATCTGGGTGCCACTGCAGTTCACCCTCCGAGAGATGACTTTGTATGCTGTTGAAAGTACAGAAGTGATTTTGCAGTGAGGTTATTGCCTTAGAGCCCTTATTGGTCTTCTGGTCCCTTATATCCTAACCATATTAAGCAATCTTGCCCTGTCTTGTGTCACCACAGAAGCCCTTCCCCGAGTCTGGGCAGACAGGTTTTGAAGGGTCCATAAACTGCCTGACAGGCAGCAACTTCCACCTGACCTAAAGACAAAACCAGGCATCAGCAATATTTAATTTCTGAGATTTATTTTGTTAGTAATACACGTTTCATTGGATCTCAGTGCTTAGTAAAAGAACGTTACTAATATGATCAGCAAAAACAAAACTAAAAAGTGTCTGGCTGTGTATGGTACCGCTCAATGTTTTTATTTCTAGTTTGTGAAGTTTACATGCACTCTGTGTGTTGGTTTGCTACAGGAAGTCACTGCAGTGTTTTGCAACATGCACATTATCCCCAAAACCGTACAGCAAAATCTACTCGAGATTTTTCTACTGTCAAGTTGCACTATTATGCTAGAAAAAAAGAAAATACAAATGACAATGTGAATTCATTTCCAGAATGTTTGCTACACCTTCTCACTTTTAGTAGCTGCATTCATAAAACATCGAGGAATTAATGGAAAAAAACCAAAACATAACAAAACAAGCATTTCAGTGGTCAGAACTCAGGATGGATTTTTTTTTTTTCCAGATTGGTTGAAGCATCTAAATCAAATCACTTCCAGTGAAAATGGACACCTTCATTAGTAAACAAAGATGATTAGCAAATAAAGATGTTAAAATAGAAAAGCAAATGGAATATAAATGAAGAAATTATATGGCAATACTGCTTATTTTTCTGGAAATTTATTGGGGAATTTTTGCTCATTAATGTCAGTTTTCCTTCCTCTTCACCACATTCTATTTGCTACTTATGTTGAAGTCTGAAAAATTCTGTAATTTCAAATTCCAAATATATAAAACAATAGCAGATGTAATTTAAAAATCTCAAATGAATAAAACAGTAACTCTGCTTCAGAAGATGAAAATTTATGCTACATGAGAATATTAGAGAAGAAATGGTTTATGAATAGAGTTAATATCACACTGTTTTGAAGACTTAAGCTCAGAGTATGTATTGGTTTCTGGAAGGTGCTGTAATATGACTTTCTAGTTACATCTAGTTCAGTCAGCAATGTTTTGAATTATTAATTATCCTAAGTGCCTAAAATGCAAGATTTAAATGATGCAGCCAATATACTCACTGTATGACATAAAGATATTTTATATTCCATCTAAAAGTTAAGAACATGTCTAAGCTCCGGAATTCCTGTTATGAATTGTTTAAATTTCGAGTGTTCTTTACCATTATTAGGTCAGACTTTCTTTACCAGGTATTAATCAGTCTAACAAATCAAGTTCAGCTTCCTACTCTCTCCAGACTGAACAGTCTTTGAATTTTAGACTTCAGGGGAGGGGATTAATATAGCAAAACTTTTAATAATTAGAATTACAACTGCTAACTTGTACATCAGAAATTTGTATACACCAAAAGTGGAAAACCCTTACTCTGATTATAAGCAGAAGCCATCTTCTCCAGGATTGAAATCACAGCACATTAAAATCAATGCAAAGGTTCTAAATTACTTCATAAGGCTTTAAATTACTGCCTCTGTCTTAAACCTCATGCAGATTCAAACTAAATCAGACTTTGTTCTTTATATAATTCAGATTACAATCAGCAGTTTTTTTCTACAATAAGTACAGCTCCTCTTTGATAACCATGATTGTAGGGTATAAAGGTTTGTATATTGCCACCTTTATGCTGGGTTTTAGGTTATACATGCTGAACACAAATTCAGCCAAAATTTAAACGGGAAAAGGACAAAATAAAAACTGAAAATTCTAACCACCTTCAAGCTATAGTGATTGCAGACATCAATTCATTCTGTACATGGCTTACATGCCCAGAATATCTGTCTTCTAAACCTCTCAATTTTATTTTATCTTCAATTTTAACTCTAATCATTCCTACAAATGTAGATAAAAATATAATGAAAAATCAGTTGCATATGCTTTATTAAGTGAACCATGACTTAAAACAGAACCTGATGAAAGCTTTACACTACACTGGATTACAACAGTTGTAAACAATGCTACTGTTTTTATTATGGCTTGATGCAGACATGCTTCAGTATCTTACAGACTCTCAATTTTAAAATGTAAATGGTACAGGATATTGATAAACCAATTAGCACTGATGCAAAGCAAATTCCTCTTTTATCTCAATTACAACATGACAACTTAATAGGTCAAGATAGTCTAACATCTGAGACAAGGGCAATTCAATAAAACAACTGCATCTTGATATGGTAATTAAGAGGAAATGTGAATCCATTACATTGCCTCGTGTATGTGTGCATATGTAGGCGTTCTTTTTTATTTATTTAAGCATTTGATGCCCTCTTGCTGTTTTTACAGTGTATCAAATCCACATGAACACACTGTCTAAAGCCCAGTTGATAAGTATCTACAATATCTGTAGTTTTGGTAGGCCAATTTTAAGGTTGCAACTGTGCAGATAAATAATTCATGAAGAGCCCTTAAAAGATATACAATTGCAAGATAAACTCTTCAAATATAGGACTTCTGCAGCTATATGTTTGCAAATTATTTAAATCTGGCTAAAATAATTTGTGATAAGTTTAAGTACTGTGACACTGAACTGGTACTTTGCACGCACTCTATTGGAAAACAACCCAAAATCTCACAGAGCACAGCAAAATAAACAGGCTACAACTGGGAAGGAAAAATAATTTTGTTTGAATATGCTGCCTCTTACAAATCAGATGTATCACTGTAATCAGATGTATCAGATATAGAAAAGAAACGGTACTCTTAGCATTGACAAGAGTGTAGTGGAACACACTCCAGCTATTTGACAAAGTAGGAGTTTTGGCTGTTAGGACAAACCAGAGTAGTAAAGTCAACATAAAGGTAGATGTTCTTTTTTGTGCTTGGAACTTAATTTGATATACACGCTGTACTAGAAGTTTTACTTTACAATATATTTTGGAATGACTTAACAAAATAAACAAAGCCAACAAGAGCCATGTGAGAGTACAATACTCCAAAGATTCTGTAGATTAGTTTAGAACATGAACAAAAGTTACCTCTGTATTTCCTCTGCATATGTATAATGCAAGACAAACATTATTGTACACTGCACTACAGCAGAACAAATTCTTAATTTCAGCTGCAGAATGCAACAACCTATACAGCCAATACAATATTCTTGTTCCAAAGAGCCCTACTTTAGCTAAATAATCCATTTAGTATATTAATGGCTTTATAAGAGGACTTCTGGCTAAAGTTTATCTACGCCATCTCACCATCGTCTCAAGCGAAAGTCAACCACAGAACGCAAAAACTGTTATGACAGAAAAAATGTTTCAATTCAATACAAAAATCAAACAAACCTGATTCCAAGATTCATAGCCTCAGCAGTTCCAATCATGCTGATGGCCAAGAGCATGTTGTTGCAGATCTTCGCAGCCTGAAAATTAAGTTAAAGTGTTAATTAGTTTCTGCATTTTCATAGAATTAATATGTAGGAATCTTCTTTAACCAGGGCCAGGACAGTATGACAAAGTATGTTCTGACAACTCTCTTCTGAAGGTAGTACCAGTAAGCATAGATCTATGATAGTATTAGGCCAATGAAAGTTGCCCTATGGCTCCTTCAGAGACTAGGAAATACTTTTTTTTTCTTAGTACTATAGCTCAGTATATCTGGCATGTAGGACCTCTTTGTCCTTCTGAACATTCAGTAAATCCAAATTTAGAAGAAATAAAATTAAAAGCTGTGTCCTCTAAGAAGTATAATCTGAACAAGCCAACGTGGAAAAACACCAGGTCAGATGTTTTTGTGCTAAGATATGCAATATACTGGAGAATAACATCATGAAGTTAACATATAAACACACAGTTGAAGACAAGTAAACAAATAAACAAATACAAAACCATATTACCATGCATCTAGTTCTGGAATGAAAGGGTAGGCATCATTAAAGAAAAACAAAGGAACAATCCCTTAGGAAGCACTACCTGTCCGGTTCCAACCTCTCCACAGTAGACCACGTTAGTACCCATGCATGTCAGCAACTCTTTGGCAGCATCAAATTCTTGTTCCACTCCACCAACCATGAAAGTAAGGTTTCCAGCTCGAGCAGCTCCAACACCTGAACCAAGACAACACTGGATTTAACATAGCTATTTTAAAAAAAAACACCCTTAAGTAGTTTATCGTACCAGTAGGGTCTGATGTAAAACTTATGTGCATAATACTTCACTTACGATGAACCTCTCAAAGTCTATGCAGAATTAAGCCTATAGTCCCGGTATTTACAAGACCAGAGATCTTAATTCACAAACATTTAATGAAGATAAAACCTTATCTTTCAGGCATAGTGGCAGATAATTCACAAGACTTACAGAAAACTGACAATGTCACCCTTTATAGTTTCATATGAAGAAACAATCAACCCTTCCTGAAACTTTGGACCCTATAAAATTCACTGTATCTGAATTACTAAATAAAATTTCCATTTTTTAAACTACTCTTCACATGTACCTGTTGATAAACTATGGTTCAAAGTTAACTCTGCTTTTATCAGCTTTTCCAAACTTAGGCTAATTTTTATCAATGCTTCCTGATTTTCACTTAATTGAACATCTGAAAGACACAGGCATACAAACCCAAGCTTTCTGAATCTCTGCAGTTTATTATGTTTCTAATCTGAAGCAAATCTACTTAATCTGAGGAATTTGGAGTTACTTTCCTACACATAAATTTAACACACATACAATAATGTAAATAATGCAAAAACGATTCAAACATACATGCTCATCAACACAAACACACTATTTCCAGCCTTATTCCTAGAATTCTGTCCTGTCTTTACCACACGACAGTAAACACACACTATAGTTCTTTGACTATATAGTTCCTAAGCAGAAAACCAGCAAAATTTTTATGTGATAATTTATCAACTCCATGAAATATTCCATTCCTTAAAAGAAGCCTAATTCTAATATGAATTACTTGTACATCCTTCATTTCCTCATCCCCGACATTTAGTGGGTGGAAGTGCTAGGAAAATTTGGCCCCAACCGACGAAAAAATCAGCTTCCTCACAATTTTTCAGTTTAGCAAGAAACAAAGCCACTATAAATTTTCGGGTTTGATGCTATGCATCGAATTTTGACGAATTTTGTTAGGGCGTACAGCTGCAGATAATAACCTACTTCCAAATTAAACGTGCTCAACAAGGTACAGTGTTCTTAGAAAAAGAATGTCCAAGTGAAAGAACTTGCTCTTCCTCCATGTGGCAGACCACTTTGTTTCTACAGTAAGTCAGGCCGCTCTCCTGCTATGGGTTATAGCTCTTTGTCACCAACTAGCTACCAAAATAAACATTAATAAATGTTTATATTGAAATAGTTTCCTGAGTGTAACTGGAACTGCCCTCACTGAGCTAGATGTGTAGCAACAAATGAAAATGCACTCTTAAGAAACTTATCAGCTGAAGACAGCTTTTTAAAAAAAAAAAATCACAAATGAACAAAAAGTACAATCTAACCTCAAACAGCAAAAGTTATTACACTAGAAATATGCCCTACTTAAACAGGATGTTTCTGGTTTCCTTGTTGCCTATTAGCAAATGAAAGTATACAATAAATAATAATAAAAAAAAAAGGCCAGCACTAAGCCACAATGGCAACCAAGCTTGTGCAAAAACAGTTCTAATAAAGTGCTCAACCATAGCAGGCTAATCAGAACTTCTCTCAAGTTAAAGCCTTGGGCACAGATAAGTACTGTACCACAGCTAAAGAACCATGTGGTCAGTATTGGACTTCTTTTCCAACATCAGGAATCTTTACAATTCAGCTCACCACACTGACAAATTTGAAGAATTTTTGCCTTCCCATAAAAATTTCAATCGATGCACTGTCTCTGTGCAACTGCTCTGTTTATGTCCATAAATGCTCCTTTCTGTATGTCAAGCATTTATTTCCCCCATCCTGCGTTCCAACATGCGCCATCTTTTGAAGTCACTGAAGAATTTTGGACAAATTTGAAAAAATCAGGGGCTCGAAAATACTAAATACCTACCAATTATGTGAAATAAGCAATAGAGTAGAAGAAAGAGGCTCCCACTGGTGAAGTAGCTGCACAACCTATGTTATGACCTGCAATCACAGAATCACAGGATTGCTGGGGTTGGAAGGGACCTCCAGCTCCCTGCTCAAGCAGGGTGCAGGGTCAGCTGAAGCAGGTTGCTCAGGACTGTATCCAGTTGGCTTTTCAGTATCTCCAAGGATGCAGACTGCACACCCTCTCTAGGCAAGCTCTTTCAGTGTTTGACTACTGTCACAGTAAAAAAGTGGTTTCTTGTGTTTCAGATGGAATTTCGTGTGCTTTAATTTGTGCCTGTTGCTTCCTGTCCTGCCTCTGGGCACTCCTGAGAAGAGTCTAGCTCCCCTTCTTCCATTCTCTTTCATCAGCTTTTTATACACACTGACAAGATCCCACTGTGAGCCTTTTCTTCATGCTAAACAGTCTCAGCTCTCTCAGTCCCTCATATGAAAGATACTCTGGTTCCTTCATCATCTTTATGGCCCTTAGCTGGACTCACTCCAGTCAATCTGTATCTTTCTGGTGAGTCTGGAGCATCCAGAAGAACTCAGTCAGAACCACAGCTTTAAAAACAAACAAAAAAATCAGTGTGTGATTTTACTTACACAGACACACGCACAAAACTGTTGAGGTACTGAAATACCTACAGTGGTGCAGATCTTCCTGCTTAGTTTGACAGACAACCTATTTGCAGCCAACCCTTAGTCTGACTGGAACTACTCCTGCCTGGGCAACTCAAGAGGAGCTGGGCTTAGAACAAAGCCTAAATTTAGAGCTAACACAAACAGGACATTGTCATCTTGTTGGCTACTAGTTTACTATGCACATGACCACAAAGATTGCTACATTAATAAACACAGTGATTTTCATTCCATTCCTCTAGCTATTTTTATTCTACCCACATAATGGCCTTTACCACTAATCCTGTGATCTGACCTGCAGCAAATTAAGTAGACAATTTAAGTCAAAGCTTACAAACAAAATCCAGTACTATCCATCATAGGTCAATAGCCTTGTATCTAGATTACAGACTGCTAAATAGCTTCAGAGACTCATTTATTAGACCAAAATTAATGCTGACAATAGTTTTCAGCTGGTTAATCTTCTGACAGCTGCACTCTCTCACTTGTTCAAACACTTACATTTCAAGTAGAAGAAATAAATTAGTTAAGTAGAAAAAAAGAAGTAATTTGTTGTATAATGCAGAAGGCTTGGAAAACTCTCATTTTAAAAACAAACCCCTATTTACTTCATGGTAAATTTTATCATTTGGCATCCTTGTCAGCTATCAGCTGTTTTATCAGAATTCAAAAAGCAATGCAGCAAATCTCTAACACTGGTAATAAAAAAAAAAAAAAAAAAGAAAAAAAGGCAGGGACTCCAGGAGTACAAGAACTATAAATTCAGCTAAAAACATAAAAAAAAATCTTAAGACAAGAATGCATAGCTTTATTTCATAATCACAGATTCCATACCAACAACACAGCCAGAAAAGTATTATCAGCTTCTAACACTAAAGAAAGCAAGGGAGAAAGTAGAGCACCCAACGTATTTTTTAAAAGCGAGTGATCATTTTTTAATCTTTGGATTTTTTTTTAAAGATCTCTTACCACCTAAGAGAGTGCTTTATGTACCACTGCTGATTAGGGTCAAAAGTCTTTCAGAATATATATTTTTTTTCTAAAATACAAAAAGCCTCTTCTCATCCTCAGGGAATGGTTTTCTGAGAAACTGTATTTATGACCAGCACATGTAAGATTTCCTCCACTCCAAATCAAGACTGCTGGAACCCATAGCTCCAGTTCTACACTTGTCTTCTCTGGGATGATAGCCCTCTGATACCTGTGTACAGAATGGTCACCTGGTGTGACCATTTATTTTATCAGAAGAGGTACATAAAGAACTGCTCTTCAAAGCATCCTATTGCATCTAGCTGAGCTACTTGCGGGGCAAGTATTAGTTCAATTCATGTGCTTCTCAGTTTGATTGCCAATGGATTACTCAAGGAACCTAATGCAGAGCAGATCCTGAGTGCAAAATTTTAGATGCAAATGTGAATGGACACTTAAAAGCCCTTATACGACAGCTACCTTACAACAGTTTGGACATGAACTCAGGTTTTAGGCTCCAGGCCAGGCAGCCTCGTTCAGTAGCCACCCTGCCCTGCAATATTCACTTTTCTGTGCTTATTACAACAGTATTTAACATGCTGGAAGAAGTATTGTAATTTGCCACTTAATGTTTCCTGTTTAAAAAAAAAAAAAAAAAGTCTTACCTCTCTATAGCTACATCATTAAAGCAGCTTGATTTCAATCCGTTTGCTATATAAGAATACAATACGCTAGAAGAAAAGATGTTAATGTAAAGATGTTACATCAAAGTATTTGCTTTTGGTTTCAGTTTTATTAGATTTCCATAAGAAGAGCAGAGTGCAGATGAGTTAAAAAGAAGTGACATTATAAGGCTACACATTACAGCACCATCACAGCAGTGATGACAAAAACAGTTACACTGCTGAAAACACAGAGCACCCAAGCATATCCTTGTGGCAAAATATTTAAATCTGTTGCATTGCACCTGCTGATTAAAAAAAAATCATTGCTGACAAAGTTAAGAAGAAAAACTGAAACAATATGAATATAGCTGCTTCAGAGACTCAAAAGGACAAGATAGAGATGAGGGCTGTAACATCAAGCATAGGCAAAAGAACATATATTTTGCCATTGTTCTATTCAACATGTAGCCTACTGAACAATTTTAACAATGGATTTTGTGATCTAAGTTGGATAAACAAATAAACAAGGAATCCAGTGCTAGAGTTTTAATCCACTCTCCCATTTTACAGTGTTGCGCCCTCAACTGTAAAGGTTGAGGCTTTACCTGTTATGCTTTGGGAAGTGCAAGGGAACACTGGTCCTTTACTCTGATCACAGGTTAAGTGACTGTAGTTGCCTCAAACAAGCAGTTTCTTGTCATATTTGCTCTCTTTCAGATAGGCTGAACTTTAGAACCCGCATTTGTGTATCTTGCACATGCATGTGCATTTTTAAGACTAAGCAGTTCTCTTTGAATGCCTGCCATCTCACATGAAATACTTTATGTTCTGCAGCTTGCAAAAAGTTAGACCAAGATACACAAGGAAAGATGAACTGAAAAGGTTACTACTGTTTTGGTGGATATATAAGTTCAAAACCAATTAAAGGCATGTATAGGCAAAACCAGCTACAAATCCCTACTGGAAATAAAAGCAGAATGTTTAAAATTACACTATAAATTTAAAATAACCACAAGGAGACTAGTTACTTTATGAAATATAAATAAAATATTTTTTTTCTCCTTACTTTATAGACAGCGTCTGCCTTAATCTATTTCCAGGAAACAAGTAAATGGAACAGTCTCAGCATCCCCTCCAATCACACCACCACTCAAAGGGCTTGTGTTTCTCCCTATTATAAAAATCAGTATCAAAGCTAGACCTATGAAGCTATTCTGCTGCTGTATAACTAAACCACAGTAAATCACTTAATTTGCTCAAAAGAACTTAAATGTTTTAACCAGTCTGCCATCAGCGGAGATAAAGAAGAGGACCGATGGGACCGGGCTGCAATGTGAGCCGTCTTTAAAATGCAATTGTTCTAATCATTTTCTACAGATGCAGCCTCACAAGGGGCTGCTGTCACAGGGACCATTTACGACTTGTTATGGTGTCTCTATTGTTTACCAGCGACATTCGCTAAAAAGGCGACAGCTGGGACAGAAAGCTGCTCCTCAACGAACAATATAATCCCGTGAAAGTAATCAACAAATTTAAGGGTGTTAATTAACTTTACACTTTATCATGTTCAATTAGTTGTCCTTTCTCGAAAAGATTGCCGTGCACAATCGGTTTAGAGCGTGCCATGTTTGATTTGTAAGTGATCACTGTTTCTGTTTCAAAGTCCATGTCAGATGTTCTCTTGGGTTTTGGTGACACAGATGAATGGCTCCGCACATGTTAGGGGGTGATCTGGTTTAACATAAACCAGCATAACATAACCCCTTGTTAACACATCACTGGCCTTTCCAGAGCAGGCACAGAAACGCTGGCGCCCACAGACGCACACGTACACGCACCAAACCCCCGCGGCAGCACCACCGACAGCGAGGCAAAGTTTCGGTTTTGCTGAAACACAAAGACACAAATAAATGGGCAATTTTTCATCATTATATCTCAAAGCAAGTCTTGCCTTTCAGGGGCACGCTTGGGATCATTTCTTCCCAGCAAGATCCCTCGTTCTGCTGCATTATGCACTACGCACAAGCGCCTTCCCACATTTTATAGAACGCACGCTGCCTCTTCTAAGGGCAGCTGAGCAAATGGTGGGTGGAAGCGCTAAGTTCTTGTGTATATAAAATTCTGTGGTGGCTTTTAAATACCTGTACTGCATTTATAATGGCAGAGATTCTAGAAGAAAGTTGGATTAATCTGCTGGTAAAATCTGGTTTTCTTTCTAATGCACTGTGCCTGCTTGCTAATGGGACAAGGCAAAGCTCATGATGAAGTGACAACGTACTTAGAAGGGCACCTTAATGAAAGTCATTGCTGTTTCTTCTGATAAATCGAGCTTTGCATCACCATACCTCATAAAGTAGTGATGTTTGAATAGGAATGGAGATGGAGGTTCAAGTCAGTGCTTTGAAGATTTATACAACGAGCACTCACCATTACTCCAGACAAAAGCATGCTTAAGGAAGAAGTCCTTTTACAGCATAATCCAATTATACAATTTGTTAGATTAAGGCTGTACAAAGAAAAAAGCCTAGTGGATTTTCATTCTGCAGCAACAGGCAAATTAAATACACATTATCATCATTATTTATGCAGTTACATTGTACATAAAACAAACTGAAAAAAACTGACCCATAAAACAAAACAAAATAAAAATGCAAAGAAAACCCAATGGAAAAGTTGTTAACTCTGAAAGCTAATAATGGACTAGGTTAAATACTTAAGAGGAAATTATAGACTATATCAGAAATAGCTGAAACCACAAAACAAAGCAGTAGAAAACATTAGTTTTCTGCTAGGAAGGAGATCTGCAGGGAGAAGGGAAGCGGTCGATAGATCCTTAAATTGGACGCAATAGCTGTTCTTCTATCCCAAGTTGGCAGCTGCTACATTTGCAGACCTGGTTCATTATTTACCCATAATGACCATCAAGCTCCAGTCAAAGTCAGATCACAACAACTGTCAGCAGCTCTTTTAATTAGCCTTGTTTGAATCCAGATAAATATCACAATGGCCCAGCTTCTGCTGAAAAAGCAACAGAAGACTGCAAGGAATAAGCTTCTCTGATTTCCTAACAAACAGTATTGTGAAAAAGTCCAGAGAACACTGTTTGTGTTTTTTTTTTAATTGAGGAAGCTATGGTGATCTGTACATTATTATTATTTTTTCCCTCATACCATATTCATATCACAACCTACAAGTCTCATTTATGGGCAAATTTGTGCATCTCAAATGCCAACTCAAAGCATTACTCCACAATCTAAAAGGTAAACTTTAAGAGATTGTTTACAGGTAATAATTAAATATCTAAATTCTGAAATCTTACATTTTGAAAAACGGATTCAGAATTAAGGAATGCACATATTAACAGGATTATCCTCTCTCCTAATTTATCTCCTTCTGTTTGTTTATCCTCAGGGAACATAATCTTCTGTTGCATCAAGCCACTCTCATTCTCCCTGTGTCAGCAGCAGAATAATAATTCCCTCCTCCTCCTCCACCCCCCTCCACAAGCACAGCCAAGAATGAAGACGGGTGGATCAGACTGTGTGCATCAGCATTAATGCTACCAGCAGCTATTTTCCTAGCAGTAGCAGAGACTGAAAGACGAAAGAGAGATGTGCAATATGCTATCTGTTCTGGGCAGCCCAGCATGAGAGGGAGTAATTAAACAGATCTTGCCTCCTAAATAGTATGGAGGTAGAAGATGCAGCCAGAGACTGCTATAATAGTCTCTCCTTAGCACTTCCCTTGCTGTCATGGTTGGGTCTCTATTTTGCTAGGTGGAGTCCGAAGACAAAAGACAACATCAAACACTCCAGCCCCACTGAGAAGTGTTGTTGTACATGCAGGGATCCTTGGAGGTCTCGAGGAGAACTTAGGGATCTACATGAATCATGAGGATACATGTATATAAACAATAGGTACATACACGTGGTGCAGCAGCAGAGGATATCCCTTTTGGCTGCAAAAAAAATTTAGGTGAACATCATGGGGTGTTCTGAACTGAAGGTAGAAAGCAACGTAGAGGGAACGATAAAGATCTGATTAAACAAAATAGACAAAATGGTAATGAGAAGCTTCATGTTTTTAAACGAAGTCCTGAGCTAACTGTGTAAGGATTAGTACTTGAACTTGGCCATTGATGCCGGAATAAAAATCTTCAGTCTGATTTAGATGTACTATAGAAGGAAGCCAAAACACAGAAAAGAATATACCCTCTCAATAAATCATGCAAAAACTGAGCAGAAGCTGTTGTTCAGGCAGTTTAATATGGGGGGAATGCACCAGGAAAATTTTATGAGACAGTATTAAGTAGCAACTGATGCCTCCAAAAGGACTAGCCAAAGAAAATAAGTTGCAAAAGGCAAAGACACACAGAAGATACTTTTTCAACACAAGTACAAGCCTGAAAAGCCTCATGCAATGGTCCTGTCTGCAGCATTTTTTTAAAAAGCATTACATTTAGTGCTAATCATTGTAATGCCAGAGAAATACCAAAGCACCTGAAAAGTTACCAAGTAAAAAGATTAACAGCACTGCAATAAGAGAGCAAATAAAGTAGAACTGATTATTTGTTTATTTTTAATACCCAAAATACTGTATCAAAACAATTTTAAAACAGTAGTTCATGCCAGTCACTTTTCCTATTCTCTCCCTTTAATTCACACTCCACCACAAAAGCCTTATATAACAGAAAGAACCCTTAGGTGTTCTTGCTGGAGTACCAGATCCAGCTACTCCTTTACACACCCCTAACAGTTCGATATACGGTCTAAATCTCATTTGGGGCTGCAGACCTATACAGAAATATTAAAACTTAACAAGTGCAAGTATCTACAGTTGTGGACAGCAGAATTAACTGCATAGAGCTTAGCACAGTTCAAAAGAACTATTTCATGTTTTATCTGATCATTAGCAAGAGGGCTGGACAGACAGTGAAGAACAAGAGGCAGTATATTCCATATATCCAAGACACCAAAGTTTCAGTAAGACCAGGACATTCCAAATGTAAAGCCCATGGCATTAAGCTATCTGGTTAACCGTTGCTAGATTCTGAGTAAACACAGCATCAAATACAAAAGAAACAAAAGAAAATGACCAATCATCAGCTTGCCCAGCACCACTGTTTGAATTTCTAGTCTTTCATGGGAAATTTAAAAATGAAAATATGAGCATGCACACATCTTCTCAGCAACGTGGGCTAATGTTTGCCATCCACACCACTAAAATTCCACAGACAGGCTCTAGCACAATTCCTGGCTTGCCTGGGTGAGACTTCCAAGTTCTAGAAATAAAAATTAATCTCAATCACACAGTGCAAAAAGAAGAACAATTTTTATCTGTTGTTAGAAAGTTGACAGAGCTGCACAATTACCACCTACTGAGGTCATTACAACCTTACTTTCTTCAGAAGCTTCCCCTCTATGCAGAAGATCAGCAACTTGAAAATTCTCTTATGGGACTATAGGAGAAAATGCTCAAAGGGATGAATATTTATAATGTCCCCTTAGAAAAAGAGAAGGTAAAATCCTAGAAGAACTGTTCTATCTGTTCTAACTAGTGTCAACAGACAATATCAAAAAGAACAACATCAAAACCCCCAAGCTTAACTTTGTGTGGGACAGCAAAAGCCACAAACAGAACCATCAGTCCACCTCAGTGTCACAGCTTTTCATAGCTTTTGTTTTGGCTGAGCAACACAGTAGCAACTTCACAACCAACAAAACCAGATGTGTGGCCAACCTTGCTGAGCTTTGCAAATTACAAAAAGCAATTAGCCACGTGCAACCACGTTTGCAGATATTGCTACTTGGACTTCAGTGTTTCTAGCTGTAAGAATTTCTATGCTTGTGCATTCCACCTTAACTCCACAGCAAAATGCAAGTAGGTTTACACAGCACTGTGGAATACATATATAATAGCTAAACCTCTTATTATAACAGAAACCCAAGAACCTTTGAAGAAAAAATAAACCAGGAATTTTTAATATTATTGCTTACATATTTCTCCAGCATTAGTACAGCCATAGCAAGATATTAATTCCCTTTTACAAAAACAAAATACTTGAAACACTTCAGTCCTTTATGATTTTCATTACCAGGTTATCTACATATAGGCTCCCAAAAGCAACAAAACACTGCAGCATGTTTCTTTGCTGAATAATGAAAGCATTGAGCACATTGCTAAAAATAAATAAATAAATACAGAAATAAATATATATCACACTAAGGTATCCATTTAAAGTGCATTGCTCAACAGATACAGGTTTAAAGTATTCTTCTTAATAAAAGGTTTGCTTCTTAGAAGGCCACCTGCTGAAGCCTAAAGTCATGCAGGCAAATTTCTGTCGATGTATTCATTAGTTCTTTCCTTTTTTTATATAAGAAAATAAAAACATTGTAAACACAGAAAAATAAACCAAAAAGCACTAAATTGGAGTGGAGCAGCATAGCATACCTGTTTGTAAGCATTTCTGATTTATCCAAGTGTTGAAGATGTAGTTATGCCATATGCATTCAATCCCAAGCATTCGGGGTATATTTACATTCACAACATTTTGAAAGTATCTAGCATTTAATGACAAAAATCTAACAAAATTTTAAAATAAAATAACAATGTATTGCCATAAAGAAGTATCAGGCAGGTAATTTTAAAAGAAATCCATCTCCAGTATTTTCCGCTGGAGAGTTGCCCAGCTGTGATTTTCAGTTTTACCTATTGTGGATACGTGGCTATGGCAGCACAGCTGATACAGCTTTACAACTGCAATGGGAAGAAATGCTTAAAAAATAGGACTGAAGACTTGAACATTTTTTAACAAACTTTTGAACCTTGTCCCTTTGTGTCATCAGTGGTATGAGACTGAGATTTTTTTTTTTATAATCTGAACC